AAGATGCAGAAGGCAAAGATGATTACAGTGGAGAGCGATCCTGGACGCACCGCACAGCTGGAATGAAGTAGGCTTCGGGGTGGCAACCCTAATGCTGTGTCAACAAGAACACAAGCCAGCCTGGCCTCTGCTTCATCCTGGCATGTCGGATTGTGTTCTGTGCCCAACACACAGCTCCCTCCTGCTGCAGGTGTGATAGAGTCCAGACAACCGGCACACAGGGTCCGGTAACAACAGCTGTCTTTGGGTGTCAGAGACGTCATACCACTTATCCTAGGTCACAAAGCAGAAGCCACAAAGCTAGTCAGCCTGATTCCAGCCTGGACCCAGCTGAGACCAGTCCAACAACGGTCCATCTGGGCACCAGAGCAGTGCCTGGTAAAGTCCATAGAGACCCTCTCTGTACTGTAGCTCACTGTTCCAAATCCAAGGAAGTGACAGTGCGAAGCAGGACAGGCAGCAGAGAGGCAGGGGCCCTCGGGAAAGAGCAGGAGAGATGATGGGAAAGAAAAGGCCCATCATGGCAATGGGAACCAGTAAATACTGTAGGCAGAAAACGGTTCCGATGTCCACACCCCAAGCCCTGAACTACGACTGTTCCACTACATGGCAAAGGGGAAGTGAGGCTGTTGGCCAGCTGGCCTCCGAGTAGGAAGATGCCTGGACTATGTGGATGAACTGCAGGAGTCAGTTATGGCTTGGATGTGAAGTATCCCTGCAAAAGCTTTGTGCACTGAAGGCTTGGTCCCCAGCTGGTAGCACTGTTTTGAGAGGCTCTGGAAATTTGAGGAGCCAGGGCCTAACGTAGGAAGTAGGCCACTGTGGGGGGTGTCCTTGGGACCGTATCTAGTATGTGGGGGGTCTCTCTCTCTCTCTCTCTCTCCTTCCTGGCTGTGATTAAGGCAAGCAACTTTGCTCCTCCACACCCTCACCTCCCCACCATAATGCTTCTGCCTCACCATGGTGGAGCCAGCTGACCTGGACTAAAACTTCTGAAACCATGAGCCAAGAGAAACTGCTGAGCCACTCTGTCAGCTGTTTTGTGATGAGTATTTTTCCAGATAGGGTCTTGCAAACTATTTGCCTGGGGCTAGCTTCAAACCATGACCCTCCAGATCTCTGCCTCCCAACTAGCTAGGATTACAGGAGTGAGTCACCAGTGCCTGACATTCTTCTTCCTTTTTAAGTGTTTCTCCCAGGGATTTGTCAGTGACAAGACTGACTAATGCAGGTTCTAAAGGTTGCAGGGGTGCTGAAGCAGAGTTGCATGGCTCCAGGGAAGACAGAGCCTTAGAAGCTGGAAAGGCAAAGAAACGGACTCTTTAGCGCTTGCACAAGGACTCAGCTTTGCGGCCCAACTGCCACCCAGGACGTTCATGTCAGACTCTAGTGTAAGGAGTTCAGGACATATTTGTGCTGTTTAAGCTGCTAGCTCTGCTGATCTGTCCTGGCACAAAAGTATAAACTCAGCAAGCAAAGGCCCTGAGACAGAATGAGCAGGAAGCAGCAGCCACATGCACATGTGTATGCAACATGAGTGTGAGGTTCCCGTGTGCGCATATGCGTGAATGTGGAGCTCCCGTGTGCACCCATGAGTGTGAGGGTCCCGTGTTTGTTGCATGGGATTTCTACAAATCATTGATCCTCAATAAAGGACCTATTTGAACATAGATGCTGCTGGTGCTGAGACCCGGCTCCAGTGAGCCTGTCCACACAGGGAGTGTTTTGGGACTGGCAGGCACCGCATGCTCCCTCTGCAGCTCACCAGCCACAGTGCAGTGTGCAGAGGTGCTGGCTCCCATGCATCAGGACCATCACAGAAGCTCCTAGCCGCCTCTGCTTTTTCCAGCCACCACCCCGACCCCCAACCTTAGCCTCAGGGGCAGCCTGAGCAACCAAGCCTGGGTGTACTGAAGGGAGATTCCCAGACACTGCTCAGCCTCCTGGTCTCATAGTAGGCACCTCCTGGGAACCTGTGCATCCAGAAAGTGTTCACGGCCCCCGAATTGTCGCTGCCCTCCTCCACTCGATGTACAGAAAGGGTCCACGGCCTCTGAACTGTCAACACCCCCTCTACTGGACGTACCGCTGTGCAGGGACAGGTGGTGGGTGGGGGTGGAGGCCCCATCAAATATGGCCCGGTCCAGGAAGTCGATGGTGGACTCCGTGTACACAATCTGGAAGACCTGGCTGAGCAGGGAGCACAGTTCCTCGGCAGCAGCCTGTAGTGGGCAGAGAGCAGCAGTGCTGCTACGTGGCTGGCCACACACTGGGCTTTGCTGGGCACCTCCAGGGCACCAGGGCATCTCAGAGGCTCCGTAACATGAATGGGGAGCAAACAGCAGAGTCAAAGGCCCACTGCCTTTCATGACCCACAGGGGTGTCCAAAGGACTATCTTTTGGACAGATGTGGCCAGGTAGCATGCTCCTAGCTCCTCCCCAAGCCTCAGGAGAGGGCAGAGAGGACACCATTGGTGTCACACCCAGAGGCACTTCTAGCAGCAGTAAGACAGTTTCCTAACAGTGTACTATCCATAGCATTGAGGCTCAGAAATGCAAACTGGAGGGTGTTCAGGGTAGGCACCACTTTACGGAGGCAGAAACTAAACAGAAAGGTGTTAAATGACTTCCTGAGGCCCTGTGGCTATTGGGTGGCTGAGGGGAACCTAAATCCTAACCCACAATCCCCCCACTCAGACCTTCCTGCCTCCCCACAGAGAAATCCACAAGCACAGTCCATAGCACCAGGCAACCTGGAGTGTGGGTGGCCCAGGCCACTGCCTACCCACCAGTGAGCCAGAGGGAGGCATCCTGAAGGGAACAATGGGCAAAAGCTCAGGTGACTACTAGGGACAGGGCTGCAAGGATAAGAAGCTGAGCATGGGGTCTGGTCAGGGATGGGCCAGGATAGGGGGCAGTGCCTAGGGCAGGGCTGGATGAAGGGACCAGCATGGGGCAGGGCCAGGCTGAGGAATGGGCAGGGCTGGCTGGGCTGTCAATGGGTGGTGCTGGTGGTAGGGCGGGGGTCTCACCTTGCTCTCTGTGGCCAGAATGACCAGGCAGCAGGCCTCCACTGGCCCCACTGCACTCTCAGACAGGGAGCCCACACTGAGGCCTCTGGAACCGTCTGCACACAGACTCTGGCTTGGGGAGATCCCTGGGTCCTGGGCTAAGAAGGGAAACCAAGTCAGGTAAGCACAGCAGATGGAGCAGGCGTGAGGACATGGGGTGCTGGCTGGGCCGCTCTCAAAGCACAGCTCAGGAGGTCTTCACTTGACTCAGTCTTCCACCAGATGACCGAGTAACTGGCCTGTGACAGGAGTATCTGTTTGACCCCAAACAAGGGCAGAAAGAGATAAGCCCTGAGCTCCAGGGTACCAGTGAACCCCCATCTTCACACACCAGTGTGTCATCCCACTCAGAACTGAGTGCACAGAGGTGTCACCCACATGACCTCCTTGATAAAGATGGAGGAAACATGAGACAGATGTAACATGAGACAGATGTAATCAACTGCCTCTGACCTACTCACAGCAGAACGTCACACAGCTCAACACAAGAGACCCCAGGCGCCCCCTTCAGGAAGTTTGCTTGAGCTCTGGCCCAAGGTACTCTCTCTCACAGATGGGTAAACCAAGGCTCAGGGACCTCAGAGTGTGTGAATGGCAGAGTGCAGGTGCCAATCCAGACAGCCCCAGTGCCATGTTCCTAACACTCCACCACCACCTCCCCAGACAATGGTGGTGTGATTCCAGGGCTGCCTGGAGCATGGGCACACTAGACATCAGGACTAAATATGCTGCAGGTGTCTCTGCTGCCAGGACATCAGGGGACAAGTGGCCTCAGGAGGGAGAAGGCAAGACTGCCTTGGAGATGAGCCCGGCACAGGCAAGTGCAGATGGTGAGCACCCAGGACCACACTGTCCCTACGGCAGCAACTAGCCATAGGGCTACTGTTCGCAGACCGTAAGGTCACCATGAGATGTGCACAAGGAGAAACCACTGTTCCAGGGTGGCAGCCAAGGTGGAGTAAAGAGGGGACACTAACTGGCTCTACAGGTTTTACGCTGATCACACGCCATCGTCATAATAGTCTGGATTCAAGGGCTAAATAAACAGTTGCCAGAAGTAGCTGCGCTCATTTCTCTTTTCTTGTGTTAACATTTTGAATTGTCCCTGGCTTGCAAGTGATGCGGCTCCTAAGGAAGCAGCAGGCAGATGTGAGGAGTGGATGTGTGTATCCGAGGACATCATGCCCACTGTCCATCACAGCCAGGCTGTGGCCACACAGGCTGCCACCACCTGCCTCTCCTGTCACATAAGCATTACTGTGGACTCACAGGTGCCCTCCTCCACCCGGACCCAATGCAAGTCACTCCCTTCAAGCACATCTGGCCCCTGGTCCCCATCCTACACTGTCCCAAAGGCACTGATGGGCGGGTTGGGAAAGGTACAGAGCTGCACATGGCAGGCACCGAGTGAACATTAACCACTCATCTGTCCAGCCCTCTGTGGGGCCTCTGTGTTCCCAGGCCTCAGCCCGCAAGCCACATGTGCCACAGGAGCCTCCAAGTCAGCAGGAATGAAGAACACTCCTCCCAAAACGAGGACAGTCCTGGATGCAGGGACTCCCTTCCTTCCTGTATGCAAGTTCTCTAGAAGACCTGAGTTCAGCTCCTCATCTGTTTTTGGAAAAGTTTCTCCCATGGAGTGCTCACTCTCAAAAAACTGGATTTTGGCTAGGGGTGTAGCTCAGTGGGAGAGCACTTGCCTAGCATGCAAGAGGCCCTGGGTTCAATCCCTAGCACTGCAAAAACAAAAACAAACAACAACAAAAAAATCAGTTACGCATTTTTCTATAACAATTTATCCTAATGATTCAAGTTGAGAGATTGTCCTGCTAAGCCAGGCATGGTGGTACATGCCTGTTATCCTGGCACTCCAAAGCCTGAGTCAAGAGGACTGAAAGTTTGAGGCCAGCATGGGCTACACAGCACAAGAAACAAGGGGCTACCTCCTCTCCCTATCAATTTAAAACACACAGGAATCTGGTGTGAAGCAAGTCTCTTGTCCCTTAAGGACAAAACCTTCAGGGGCTCAAGGCAGAGACACAGAGGGGCACCAAGGTGCTGGACAGAACTGTCTGTGGCCACCAACATCATGGCCTCCTATTACTCCTCTTTGGTTTATAATTCATGTGCAATGATTTGTTCTAGCTTTAGCCACACTACATTGCTATTATTATAGAGTAAGATGGTTAGTGACAGCAAGAAACTGTTAACAATGTCCATTCAGCACTTGAAGGAGACAATGGCCACCCATCCTCCGAAGGCCCAGGTGGCAAAATTTTGGTCCTAGGTTGGTGCTGTGGGAGGACGTGGAGCCTTTAGGGGGTGGGGCCTGGTGAAGAGGTCCTCAGGTCCCAGAGGCACGCCCTCCCAGGGGACCGTTGGACCCTGGCCTCTTCCGCTGTTTCCTGGCCATGAGACGGACAGTTGGGCTCTGTTGCACGTACCCTGCAACTGCCATCTGGGCAGTCCCGTCAGTGGCCCATAAGCAATGGATCTGCTGAACAAGGACAGGAACCATGAGCTAAATGAACCTTTTTCCTCTGTAAGTTGATTATCTTGGGAGTTCTGTAACAGCCACGAGAAGCTGACTAACTCATGAGACAAGAGGCCAGAGAGGACCTCACTTAGACATGACAGTGCAGAAGGTGAGCGCCTAAGGTGCTTGTGCATGCGAGTATGTGTGTATGTGTGTGGGAGGGTGAGAGTACAGCAGGTGTATGCGTGTGAGTGTATGACTGAAAAGGAGTGTGTGGCGGGTCTGTATGTGTGTGTGTGTGAGCGTGACTGAGGAGTGTGTGGCGAGTGTGTGTGTGTGTGTGTGTGAGCATGACTGAGGATGAGTGTGTGGTGTGTGTGAGGTGTGAGGCGTCTGTTTGCTGGGGAGGCGTTGTGAGCTGTCGCACAGATGAGCTACAGCAGATCCGTCTCCTAGCAGCCACCTCATAATCCTCCAGGTGCCCAAGTAGGTTTTGACCTCAGCAATCCAGGTCAGCATCACAGGCCGACAACCTTCCTAGGCCATGACTTCACAACTCATGACGACAAGCTTTTCCCCAGATTCAGGACTGACTGACATCAGGTGAAGGCATAGCCTTCCCCCTGCACTACAAAATGGGCCAGACTGTCCTGACTCCTCGTGCCCTGACACCAGTTCTGCGAACTGAAGAGCTTTAGGATGAACTGGCTGCCCACAGTGACAGGGAGCACCGACCAGCATCCTGGGACAAGGCAAGCCTCAGGGCTCGCAATGAGGCTAGCACAGGCAGGGGGGCACTGGTGTCTGGGAAGGCAGGCACTGCGGGTGAATGGCAAACACCGCACTGAGCAGACACCTGCACGTGAATGCAGCACTGAGGGTCCCCGGGGCAGTGCTGTCCTGACTGTCCCAGCTCCAGGAATACTGCAGGGCTCAAAACGTGGGCTGGACTCGGGAGGTCCTGGCCCCAGGCTGCAGTACTGTCCCTCTCCCTGGGGCTCCACTATGCCTGGGCAGTGGGTGACACCAGTTATGGGAGACTGGAGACTGGAGAAGGGACAGGAGAACCAGTATACTGGTCTCAAATATCATAACCCTCAAATCCCCAGAGGCTATGAGCATGACAGGGACCCTGGGAGCACAGCAGCTGGGCACAAGGCCTCCTCTGTGGACCTCAGGGACAGGAAGGCTCCAACACAGTCCATACCTGTCTTGAGCACCACCAGGTGCGCAGCGTCATCACGGACGTAGGAGACAGCGGCGATGTCGTGAATGGGCACCCGGAGGATAATGTCCTCACCGTCCCTCCAGGCCAGCTTGACGTTGTAGGCAGACAGGCTGAGCACAGCATCATGCTCCGGGGTCAGGTGTCCCGGAAGCTGGTGGGCTCGCTGAAAAGAAGTACAGGCATCAGAAATGGCGAGCCCGCTGCATCGGGATCTCCTCGAGGCACTGGGCAGGCCAGGGCTGGACACGTGACAAGCTGAGTGACAGAGGAATGTGCAGCAGTGTTCACCCCAGGGGCGTGCTCAAACCACCTCGGGAACTCTTCTGGAGTCTTTTATTTATTTATTTGTTTTGGGGAGTGGTACTGGGGTTTGAACTCAGGGTCTTCACCTTGAACTCAGGGTCTTCACCTTAAGCCATTCCACCAGCCCTTTGTTGTGATGGATTTTTTTCAAGATAGGGTCTCACGAACTGTTTGCCTGGGCTGGCCCTCAATTACGATCCTTCTGATCGTTGCCTCCCAAGTAGCTAGGATGACAGGCATGAGCCACCAGCAACCCGGCTAGAACCTTTTAGATTGAGACTTAATAGAACTAGGTTTGGAATACCTTTAAACTCTTTAAATTGTGAATTTGGGAAACAGCCCAAAACCATGTAGAGCATCCAGAGGGTACCATTCAGACTGAGGGACAGGCTTCACGGCAGAGAGCCAGGTATATCCAGAATGTGACAGGACAGGACCTCCTCTTAACCTTGAGGTCCAAGTGAGGAGCAGGGGGCTGGGGGTCCATGGCAGAACACATGGGGAGAACAGTTACCTTTGCATTGTCTATGAAATGCAGGATCTCAGTCCTCCTGGAGGGGTCTAGGTGCCCTGGCATGGACGTCAGCCGACCTAAGTACTGAAAGGGAGAAAAGTGCCATAAGAAACAGGAGGGTGTAGGGACCACATCTGCCAACTTGCCTCAGAGCACAGGCCAAGTGCCTTGTCTTCAGGCCCCAGGGCCCACACAGCTCCAGCCCAGCTGAATGAGTTCTAAATTCTGACAGAAGTCTCCCAGGCTGAGGACAATCCTTGAAGGTCACCACCGGAAGTCCTGCAAGGGTATCTCAAAACTAGATTTGAAGAGTCTGGACAGGGTGGCAGGTGTGTCCCAGTCACTGTTGGGAGGGCTGAAAACCAGGACACCACACACAGCCCCACCAAAACTAAACTACGACTTGCTAGGGTCAACATGGCTGAGGAATGCACACAAAAGAGAAATGAGGAGCTGTGGTTTGAACATGTTCAGTTCCTGTGCAGGGAACTGAACCCCCAACGTAGCAGTGTCAGGAGGCAAGACGCTGCCCCTCAGGAATGGACTAACGCTAGGATGGCAGCAGTGGGTTCCTTATAAAGGGATGATGCTGACCGCCTTGTTGCTCTCTCTTTTTTTTTTTTTTTTTTGAGACAGCATCTTGCTGTGTAGTCCAGGCTAGCCTCCAAGTTGAGGTCCTCCTGCCTCAGTATCCCCAGTCCTGGGATGATAGGCCCATGTCAGCACACTGGACTTCTCTCAGCCCCTCTCGCTCTTCCTCCTTCCACCATGGATGACACAAGGCCCTCACTGGGTGCCAGCCACTCATCTTAGACCTCTCAGCCTCCAAACCACCGGGCATAGATTCCCGTTCCTTATAAATTATCCGGCTGTGGCATTCTTTCAGAGCAGCACAAAGTGGACTAAGACACAATGTCTGTAGGTTTTGTTTATAACACATGGTGGCCATGAGGCCCCGGCTCAGCAGAAGCCCTTCTGTCACAAAGGGCCTTGAACATGGAAGGCTGTGAGTGGCAGCTCCATCTCCATCTGCTGTGATCACGTCTAGGTCTTCAAACCAGTACAGTGTTTAGTGGTTGGGGCTGTTCTGTTTTTTGGGCATTACTGATTTCTTCCCAAGCACATTCTTGCTTGTTCTGGGGTGGGAAGAGGTTGAGACAGGCCCAGCCTCCAGAGTGCTGGGATAAGAATGGACATGTCCTCGTTTGTCAGTCATCCCTTAGCTAACATAACTAAGTTCTCTATTGCAAGGATAAAGTGGGACTCTGCTCTAGCACGTAAAGAGCTTGGCAGCTGTCACTCCATGCTCACCAGGAGAAAGGTGACAGCTGAAGGCCAGCAACTGCTTTTCTACCCATCAGATAATGGAAGATGAAGGGAAGACAGGGAGAGGCTGAGAATCACAGTTCATGGGCAGAATCCCTGGAGCCGCACTTAAGAACAGGTATCAGACGGACACTGACCGTGGATAAGCTGGTCCATGAGATAAGGACTCCTGGGGCCAGTCATGGGGCTCTGGCACTGCCATGAGCTTTCCCAGGTATCCCACTGGGTTGGCAGAATAAAGATGAGAAAAATGTACCTCTGGCAAGGAGAGGAGAAAAGAAACCAACAAAATACTGACGGATAAAAAGTATTAAAAAGAACTGGGCGCCAGTGGCTCACACCTGTCTAGCTACTTGGGAGGCCTGGATTGGGAGGATCATGGTTCAAGGCTAGCCTGGGAAAACAGTTCACAAGACCTCCCCCGCCCCCCAATCTCCAAAATAACCAGAGCGAAATGGACTAAAGTCCATTTTGGCTCAATTGATAGGAGAGCCTGCTTTGCAAGTGTGAAGCCCCGAGTTCAAATCCCAGTCCCACCAAAAAAAAAAAAGTAGTAAAATATTAAAATACTACCAGAGCATTCAGTTACCCCTAATCTAGGACTTTCCTCAAAGAAAACTTCTTAGCCAGAGCCTGAAACATCTAGAACCCAACTCATCCCCTCTACCTTTCTATCTCTCCTAAAAACAAACTCAAAATGAAAAGTCTCTGTGGAAGGTCACAGCAAGGGCACAGGCTCACTGAGACACTGAGGCCCAGTCACAGGACTGCAGATCATCCCCCCAACCCCACACCAACAAAGCTCAGATTTCAAAGAAAGGAACTGCAAGCCTCCACCCTGTTTAAAAGGACTCTCAAGGAAAGACAGCACAAGACAAAAACCAGGGCACCAAAGCAACTTCTAGCCAGGCATGCAAACGTTAACGCCACACCATAGGCCTCAATTCCCTCAACCCAGCACCTCCCATCTAAATCTCCACAGCAGGTTACAAGGCAGACTGAAAGGCAGAGGACAGTTGAGAATGACAGCGCACACAGCAGCATGTCACGTATGTCAGGGATATAATTGTCACACAACAGCCTAAGAGAGCAAACGGTGAGAGGAGATGCAAGGCAAGCAGAGAGAAAGATCGGTACTGTAAGAGCAAGGAAGAAGGAAAAGTCTTGGGTGGTCTGACTAGCAGACTGGACATGGCCAGGGAAAAGTCAAAGCGCTGGAGGACTCGTGTTGGTGCCCCTACATTCACCAACTTCAAGAACACACCTTCCATGTGACAGAGTAAAACCACACGTCACCTGCTGCCAGGCCACAGGAGTGCCTTGAAAGACACCAACATCCCCACGAGGGAGACAGACAATCTGAAGCCCGACGGACAATGTGAAGCCCGACGACCCACGGGGGAGACTCCATCAGTAAGTACTAACACTGAACACACCAGGCCCAGGTGGGCTTGCCAGTGACGTCTACCAAACATCCAACAAAAGAAATCAGGGACTGGAGAGTGGCTCAAGTGGGAGAGTGCCTGCCCAGCAGGGGTGAGGCCCTGAGTTCAAACCCCAGTACTGACCACACAAAAAGAAAAAAAGAAGAAAAGGAAGAAATGATAGCAATTCTCTTTAATCATTTCTAGAAGGCAGGCAGGAAGAAGGAAAACCCCTGCTAACTTGTCCTACGAGGCCAGCGTTGCTATTTTATTCAAACTAACAAACATATTCAAAGAAAGGAAGACTACAGATCAGTATCCCTCATAAAAAAACATATTTTTGTAAATTTTTTTTAAAAATAAAATATTAGCACGTGCAACCCAACACCATGTGTGAAAAGAACTGAACACACGCTAAGGCCCTGGGTTCAATCCCCAGCACCACAAAAAAGAAAATGGAGAGGTATGGTGGTAACCCCATCACATGGAAGGAGAATGTCAAGTCTGAGGCCAGCCTGGGCTACACCAAAGCATTAGCCTATATGGAGCTGATGGCCCAGACACTCCATTTTTTGGGAACACACAGAAGAAGTGAGGAGGGAGGGGACAAGAAAGAGCAAAGGCAAATTCCATTGAAGTACATCATGTGCATGTATGGGACCGCACAAGGAAACCCTTTTGTATAGTTATTATACGCTAACAAAAAAAATGGAAGCAGGGCAGCACTATTCACAACTGACAAGGGCAGAAACAACCCAACCCACAGATGGAGAAAATGTGCCATATCCACACAGTGGAATAGTACTCAGCCTTGAAAAGGAAGGAAAGTTCTGACATGGATGGATGGGGAGTACACTGTCCTCCTAAATGAAAGTCAAAGAAACACGGTACAACTCCACCCACCGGATCTCTTGACCAGTCATACTCAGAGACTGAAAGCAAGATGGTGGCTAAGGGACCTGGGGGACGGGGATGGGAACGGAGACTGGTACTCATTGCCTAATGGACATAGAGTTTCAGTCTAGGCAATGAAAAGTTCTGGGGTAGAGGGTGGCCGAGGCTGTACAGCAGGATGAAGGGACTTCCTGCTAGTTAAGCACCCACTTAAAATGGTTAAAATGACAAATTTTAAGTGAGGTACTTTTTTTTTCCTTCACTACTGGAGTATGATCTCAGAGCCTACACCTTGAGCCACTCTACCAGCCCTTTTTTTGTGAAGGGTTTTTTGAGATCAGGTCTCATGAACTATTTGCCCAGGCTGGTTTTGAACCACCATCCTCCTGATCTCTGCCTCCTGAGTAGCTGAGTTTACAGGTGTGAGCCATTGTTGTCTGGCTTGTGAGATACATTTCATCACAGTAAGAAATTTTCTCTTAAAGCAGGGCACAGCAGTGCACACATATGATCCCAGCACTCAGGAGGCAAAGGCAGGAGGACTGCAAGTTCTACGGTAGCCTAGGTTACATAGCGAGACCTTGTCTTAAAAAACAAAAACAAATGAACAAAAATTCACTTCATTAGCTTTATTCAATAATTTCATTTGCTAAAAACTTTTTCAATGACCAATATTCTGATATTATCAGCTATCCCTCCTTCCTTTGTACCACCTGTGCTTTCACTCAGATGAGTGATAACAAAGCATTAGCCAGGAGGCTGGGTATCCACGTGTGAAGACTGGAAGTAGGTGCCAGAACCAACACCAATCCAAAGTGTATTGAATACCTTACTGTAAGACCTTAAACTCTGAACCTAATGCAGGAAAAGAGCAGGGAATGCACAGGAACTAACAGACATCGGCAATGGCCTCCTAAATAGAACTCCAGTGGCTCAGCAACTTAGACATATCAGCCAGGTATGGTGGCTCACGCCTGTAATCCCAGCTACTTGGGAGGCTGAGATCAGGAAGATTGCAGTTTGAGACCAGTCTGGGCAAATAGTTCAGGAGACCCCGTCTCCAAAATAACCAGAGTGAAATGGACTGGAGGTGTGGCTCAAGTGGTAGAGCACCTGCTTTGCAAGTGCAATGCCCTGAGTTCAAACTCTACTCCAACAAAAAAAAAGAGAAAAAAGAGAGAAAGAATTGACCCATGGACCTATATCTAATTAAAAAGCAGTCACTAGACTGAAGAGAAATGGAATAAAATTCCATGTGCCCACAGAATGGGAGAAAATCTTTGCCAGCTATACATCTGACAAGGGATTAATACCAGAATATACAAGGGTCCTAGTACACTGGGACCCTTCAGCCCTGCAGCACGAGGCCCCATTCTTAGCAAGGACTGGCCTGAACCCCACATATGGCTTGGTGTCCTGCCTGCAGTGTCAGCCAGTCCC